GGCGCCATGATCTTCCACGCGCTGCACGGCCACTGTTTGATCGACCCGACGTTTGTCGTGCCGGCCACGGACAACCAGTGGCCCGAGTCAGTGCGGGGCATGGAGCTCGGCAAGATGGCCAACGCGCTGCAGGAAGGTCGCGCGAAAGTGCTGGACCGCGTCCGCAGCCAGCTGGATCTGCTCGGATTCTTTGAGCCGCCACCGACGCCGAGCTGCACCATCTGAGTATATTTAAGCGGACTATATATGTAGCGTTCCTGGACAACATTGACATCGACTTGTCGCATCAACCACCGCTCCATACACTTGAAGCCGAACGACTTGATGGATTAAATCCATCCGAAGCGTCGCCTCGACGCTCCTGACAGCGGATGCGCTTGCCATCGTTCGCAACATCAAGCATCTCGAGTCGTCGCCGTCAGAGCGAGCGATGGCGCTGGCCCGCAACGACGTTGGTGCCACGGGCCTCTTTGCTATCCAAGTGGCCCCCACTACATGCAAGAGACGGCTCTCCAACCGGGCGTCAAAGCAAACGCTCGGATCGAAGCTGCGCCGCATCGGGTCTTCTCCACCTCAGGAACATTTGTTTCCTTGGTCTGGACCGACGACTTGTCTGTGTCCAGAAGAGCCCAGCAGTAGTAAGCCTGGTCCTTGCTCACGCCGATATCTTGCACTCGTCTGCTAGAGCGTCGGTGTCGTGAAACGTGACGGTTCTCGCAGTCGCGCCACGGTGTCTGCACGATTCCCCAAGCGGTCGTCATGCTAGACAAGAGCGCCGCCTGGTCCGAGGATCTTTGGCCACCTGCTCGGCGAGCGCGTGAACCCCCGCTTTATCGTTGGCCAGAGCGTTGTACGCGGCGTTGTGTCGGACCAGATGAGCTCCGCGCGAATTGCCCGAACAAGTGCAATAGTTTAGCAGTTGTTGCTACTAATTTGATTTCAATGCGAACACGTTTGATTGATTGATTGAGTTGCTGTTGCTGGTCCCGCTCCAAACAAGAAGCAACTCGAGTGCTGACAGCTAACGTCCATTTTTCCAAGGGTACATAAATTCAATATTCAATTTATGTACCCTTGATTTTTCCCGCGCTTTTCGCCGTCCAGTTTTCGCTAATTCACTTAGGTGCGAGACTTGACTCCGTACGATCCGGTGAGGTACGGCGTACCTTAGCGAGTTAATACAGTAAACGTATACCCCAGTGCCAGGGTACGCTTCACACTTTACTGGCGCTCTGTGCGCGCTGATGGACTTGGACTCGCGAGCCTGCGTGTCATTGGTCAAAATGCGGCCAGGGCTAATGGCACCATGCTCTGGTACATGGCCGGGTATATCGCTAGCTACTGCCTTCTCCCTTCTAGTAGCAGGAAACGCAACCTTACAGGAAGCTCTTCTTCTACTCGCCTCCTTCCAAGAGCTTGAAAGTGACTGGTGCTGTCCCGTTGGCGAAATTTCGCCAACGTACACAAAATTGGCCAATCAGACGCAAGACAATCGCTTTGTCCAATCCGCACGCACGGTAAACGGGCTGACGATGCCCAGATGGATCGACCCCGTGTTGCTGCCCAAGACGAGCGAGCGGCTCATGGGCCTCGCCATCTACCGCCGCCTGTACGGCCACAGCTACGTACCTGTCGGCTATGAAGTGCCCAACGCCGAGCCGTGGCCCAAGGTGCTGCACGGCAAGCCGCTTGGCGGCGCCGTCAACCTCTTGCGTGTCGCCTATCACCAGCTCGATCCGTGGGTGGAAGTGAGCCTCGAGGGCCTCGGCTTTGTCTGGAGCTCTCCAGTGGACTGCACGCGCGCCCGGTGCTTCATCGCCCACTCCCGCGCCAGGGTCATGACCACTTGGTCGGTCATCCTCGCCGCGCTCGCCCGATTCCGCGAGCTCCACGGCCACGTGCATGTGCCCGAGTGCTGGGCAGTACCAAGGAACGATGCCTCGTGGCCCAAAGAGGCGTGGAGTCTCGACTTG